GATGCGACTCGGAATTGATTCGAGTTGGTCATCATTCGAAAATGTGTCAGACTCACATGTAGACTTTGCTTGATTTGCTTTGGATGTCGGTACATGCATCTTATGTAGATTGGTCTGTTCAGCATTGATTAATACTATGTCAATTTTTTAAGTTGTTGATCTCACTCTCTAGAAAATCGTATACTACACACTGTCATTGAAATACTATTATATGTGGCAGCTTGACCCATTCTTTCCATAATTCGTGTGCTTGCCATTTTTTTAAATTAAATTTATCTTTGTTTACCTTTATCACACTACCAAGGGGGAAAGAATATTAGCATGGCTCACACAATTGTCTCAAACATATGCAATGGACCACATGTTTCTTCTGCAAGCAATTTTAGCAAAGCTTTCTAAACGAGAGGGCAATCTGCATTCATTGTTGAGAAATGAGACAGTTATGTTAATTAAGGATATAATACTGAGAGCAGGAATCAGACAAACATTAAATTGTAACTTCTTACTGATTTCTTTGGTCAATTAGACATTGTTTGTATTTGCAGTTGGAACGCAGAGGAATTGAATGCTAGTAAGCGTCGACTCGGAACAAGATTGGGGTTCTGTCCCTCCAGGAATTGGGCACTATAAAGTAAACTCGATTAAGGTGCAGTGTGTGCATTCGTATCATGGAGAAGCCGGCAGTGTGCCACTGTGCTGCTCATGTACTGATACTGAAAGATAAATTAACATTTATTCTCATAGCTTTGCCTTGATGTGTATGTGTATAGAAGCACATAATATCCCTACAGGATGCTAATTTTGGGGTAGGCGGCGCTACAGAGGGGAACACAGGCTGTTCCAAACAGCAATTTCATGTAATGTTCAGAACGAAGAAAGTATCCATACAAGGAGTACACATGTGAATTAACGTATAAATAGTTTGATGTATGAAAGAGAACTTAAACTTTGAGGCCTGGAACATGGAATTGAGCCAATGATCAATTGAATTATACATGTGTAGCTCAAGGACATGTGGATTGGGAGTGAACGTGTTGCGAAAGTGCTAAAGTCACATCAGATTCCAGCTGCAGTACCTTTGACTTCTTCAAGCGGAGACTGTCGCGCGCATTCAGGGTACCGAGCAGCGCATTCGTATAAACTTAAGGCTATCAGGTTAATACAAGGTGAAAGGAACAGTGGCTTTGTAAATACGCACATCCGGGCGTTACCTCGTAAATTCCAATATACACGAAATTTCCGCTCATTATTGCATACTGTACAGCGGATGAGACTCAGTCGTAAATGGTTGATCATGGATGTTGCCACTTACAATGAGAAGGTTGCATATGTGCAGCATGCAAGCCATTGCCCCCGTAGCAATGCAGAACAGCAAGAGCGTCCCAATAATGTTTTCCATTCTGAGAATTAAAGGGGGATAAGTGGGTGTCCATAACTAAGAAGAATGTAAAAAAGACGAACTCTGTAAACGAGGACCTCTTCTTTTGCAGGTAATAGCATAATACGGCAACGATACATATGTCACAAGCCACAGCACTTCCGTAGGCAACATATAACATCCACTACAATTGCGACTCAGTGAAGTGAAATTACATTTGATGACAGGGAACCCACAGAGATTGCATGAACCCTGGTAAAGGTCTTGAGTTCAAAACTTGAACATATGTCAGCATTTATCAGGCAGGGAGTAATCCGTTAATGAAGCATACGTTTTGATAGCAATTGTGTAACTAATTGCTTTTAGACACAAACCTGCGTCTTTAAAAACATAATGGATATAGTATGTTTTACTTACCTATGCTTGCAAGACCGAAGGTTACCTGTGGAAACATTTATGAAATGAATCAGTCTTATGCATATGTATATACAGAAGTGATTTGGACCTACAGGAGGTACAATCAGATACCATTTCCTATTACTGACTAATCTTGTGTAAGGTTTGGAAGCGTGGCAGAATAGTAAACTCTACTGACCGATCCAAATTCTCCAGCAATAAAGGCTGAAGATAAAAAGACATTTACTTGTCAGATCTTTCTTCTTTTTGGCTAAGGTTCACTTAACTCACGCAGTAATGATTGCGTAAATCGTTGTCTGTGCAGGCAGAAATCAGTACATGCAATGTCACAGATTCTGAGAAGGACTCACTGTTACTATCACAAGGCACTGTGTCGTTTGTGCAATCGGTGAGAATTACTAACACTAAAGGTACAGGAGCAACATACGATAAGACTCCTAAATTACATTAGCACATCCCTGTTGTCTTTGTAGTACAGAATACCCACCATATTGGGGATAGTAGAGCAAATGGATTGCCATAGTTTGCGATCAGGTAGTAAAATAGAGCGTGAACAGTGAGTGCCAGATGCATGGCATTTAAAAACATTACAACTATGACCTATACATTCTTTTTAAAGCAGGAGCATCACACACAAAAAAAAGACTCACAGCTATCCTCTGCACCAACAAATCATGTTTAGCGTCTTTTAAGTAAATATATGACTGCACTGCAGTCAGTCCAAAGAGCCTTTAAGATATGATGAGCAAATCATGATCAGGAGAAGACGACAGGACAAACACAGCAGATGCCACTCCACCCAAAAAGACGGCACCAAGTGTCTTATTCAGATATGCTTGACCCAGCCCAGACATTCCAGCAGTGTCCGGAATTTGTAGCTTTAAAGAGGCCCGGAAGGTGTGCAAGCGTGGAAGAGGACAGGGGCGTTAACAGAAGCAAACTGCAGTGTCGTACGTGTTCCAATTAAAAGGCCATTGATAAGAATACTAATAGACCGGAACGTGGAGACCACAACGCAACAAGCATCAAGCAGCATCCTTGTTTCCATAAATCTTGTCTAGTCACAATTCATGTATAACATCTTTTGCTGATTTGCCGGATCGGAACAACGATAGTGTGTAACGTGCCCCGCAGAATGAATTGAACAATGATGGCAAAAGCTATTCCAACAGATGGTTACTCAAAGGAAGCGCATCTAGAACCTATCTTCAAAAGTTTCAGTTACCATCACCTTGAAGAGATGATAATCAGATGGATGCCTAGGCCTTCAGACGACCAGAAACCGTCCAAGAAAAGCTTCAACACCGAGTTTTCCGAAACGAGACATTGGGTAAATTGCGGCTGAGCTGTGTGCTCAAGTTATATCAATGTCGCTACCTGCACGGATCTTCCTGGATTTGCACAGTTGTCAATGTCTGCCTTCAGTAGAGATACCTTCAGTTGATAGATTAGGTCAAACGCTTTGATGATCAGCACAGCTTCGAAGTCACAAATTCATAACGTAGAAAGACGGTCTTGGCTGGGAGCTCCCTAGCAGAAAGGTGGAAAATGCGGATCCCAGTCCCAGCATAAAAGTAAAAGGATAGTATGGTTGTTGAGTTAAGTCATGAATCATCGACGAATAATAGCAGGGCGACTGGTGATTGGTGGTACAGGTTCTGTTGAAAATAGTTCCATGGCCTTTGAAATTCTTCCTTGTTCTTTCTCGTACAAATGATACATGAGAGAAGTGAACGAAGACTACACTGCTGCGCGTAGCGCACAAGGCGATATAAAATAACAACATAGTGCAACAAGAAGAGAAGCCTGCTCACTCCTGTGTCAACAGGTTTGCGACTGTAATACGACAAGAGTTACTACTTCGTCCTAAAGGGCGGCCTTGCCGGCGGTCTACACAAGCGAACATATAATGTTTAAGTTTATGCATATAAGCGGAGAGGGAAAATATCACCTCAATTGGCAACAGGAGGGTAAGGAATGCTGAGACCATGAACAGCGCCGCAGAAACAAACACAGGACTGATGGGGTATGTTAGAATGATGACCAAGAACCCGACAATTACGGTTCTTACGCATTTGGTCCGATGCTCGAAGCGCTACCATCTCGGTTTGTGGTGGTAATTTTAATAACCGGTGCCAAGATACCTGTTATGCGATTAAAGGCAGAGCAAAGAGCATCACCTGTTCCTCGATGGGGAGCAGGGAAAACTTCGGGAGTGTAAGCATACAATACACCATACATCTGAAGCTCTTTCGTTAGACTTCGACTTGGCGAGCTAATAGTGCATATTTACCGCATTCCTAATTTGAAATACACATCAGCGCAAAATCTGCGGAGAAGAAAATAGTAACTCACTGTGTTAAAGTAGATGCGCATGAATATCCAAGATTCGATGCCTCGCCCTTAGCCGTCGTAAACAAGAATAGGAATAGACCTGTAAGAGCTGTGGAGACTGCAAGCGCCATCTTTCGGCCGCCAATCGCTATCTTGCCTGAGCTTCGCGTCCAATCGACAAGAATACATGCGATAACTGATCCTGGGATACCGCAGACTGATGTAATACTGTAATCACGATACGTTTGATTCGTCGAACCGGAAGGTAGGCGATCTGATAGATAAAGCGGTAAGAAACCGTTAAAGAGTGGATAAGCAAGCCCAATAATCCTGAAGTTATTAGTTAGCGCACGGCGCACGTATAAATATGAATTAAATTACCCCCAGATCAGAATAGTCAGTGATGAATTGATGCCAAGTCTCTTTGTTGAGAACAGCGGTTGAACGTGTGAGCTAAAGCAAGTTAGTTAACGGGAAGTAATGCATCAGTCAATTTTCATTCACTAACAGTGAGAACTGGGAGAACGATCTCTTGAATGAGGACCAGACAGATGTATCCCTCACTTGTCTAGTAGAACCACCCGAGACAGCCAATAGCTTCTCTGTTGTCAGTGAAATAGTCCTACCATTGCGCTTAGCAATGTATTGCAGAACTTTAATCGCTTCTTCGTCTTGACCGGTTGCGACCAAAAACTTGGAGGACTCCTGGAGTTCGAAGATGATGTAACGACAGAAGAACATTGCAAATGTCAAACATCCCCTGATCGAAATAATAAGCACATGTAAATTTTGCCAACATTGCACTTACATAGTATAACTACGTAAATAAAACTTCAGAAGGGTGAAAAGGAAGGGACAGGATAATCAAAACATACAGCGAATATCTCCAACTCTTGTCCACTGGATAATTGGCGATAAATACCCAGACAATAAGGGACCCAATTAGCTGGCCAACGGACCAGAAAGCAGATAGGAAGGTCAAGAGCCACTGTATTCCGGCGTTAATGACAGGTCGCAATAAAGAAACATGAGACACGAACCTGGTGAGACTGAGGAATGTGCTCTAGGAATAATGCACCTGAGGAATTTCAATACACACATAGTTTACGCGAGATAGCAGGTAAACACACCATCCACGGGTAAGCTAAAGAAGGAACCGCAAGAATTAGACCTCAGCATCGCTAGTACGAGAAGTAAACGTACTTTCCACCAACACCGAAACCGACACATGCTATAAGCGAACAAAGCGCGACGAAATTGGGAGCACTTCCCGCGGCGATACCAAACACGCCCTGAGATAGCATAAATAAATAAAGGTACCGAAGAGAGATGGACACAGAGGATAACTCACGCATATAAAGAGAGTAATCTGCCATGAAATCTTTCGACCAATCACGTCCGCAAGGCTGCCCCACGTTGTCGCGCCAATAATTAGTCCCACATAGAGTGAAAGTGTCACGTATTCCACCCTGGGGGGATTCAAGTCTGTTAGCACTTGGGGCAAGACTACGGCTACACCTTGAAGCCATAAATCTGCAACCGAGCATGAGGCAGAGTCAAAACACATGGAAGAGTAAATCCTACTATCTGCCAGCCAACCGAATCCCGACAAAATAAACAACTCTTTCTGATAGCGGCCAAAGCCAATTTCGTGCTGAAGGCACTGATTAACTACAGGGTGCTCGTAAGCAATGGTCAAGATACCAGAAAATGTCAACATACTCAGATGACTCTTCCGTTCGTATGCGGTGCTGACACCGTCTCCACGATTTTCGACGACATCATCTGCAAGTATAGAGTCTACTACAGAGCTAGCGTCGCCGGAATGTTTTTCGACGTCTACCTTGATAGGGCCTTGGTGAACGTCTGAAGCCGACATGAGGGAAGAAAATGGGACGGCTTGAGAACAACCATAAACAATGGGCACGCCAAGGTTAATATAAACACGATGTGAAATGCTGCTCCACAAAAATTTGACGCAAATTGATCGTTTCTGTCCCGGTCCTGATCATGTGCTTTGATGTGCTACAATCAATATGTTCGGACGGGCGGACGGATGGACGGACGGAGAAATAATGGCCGAAATTTGTACCCTCAAATTTGAATCGGGGTGACGTATACCCTGTCTCCCTTGCTAAGGTCCGACGCACAGCATCGCATTGAAGTACTATCCAACCGTACCGCGGTTCTAAGGACAACGTGTCGAGCATGAGCAAGGGAAAATTAGAGAAACTTAGGAGACGTTATGCCTTCACCTCCTGCAATACCGTTAGCTGGATTAAATCTTTTTCACATACTTATCAGTACCCGTGCCGTCATGCCGCTGCGCGGCAATACAAACTCATAGCCGTACAATCAACGAGCGAGCCTGGTGACAGAAAGCGCGTTCTAAGGGTCAGCGGGGCATTAGAAGCTCAATGACGAAGCGACGACGCTCATGCGGGGTTCGCGATAACCGCAACAGATATTCGCAGGGCTTGGTTGGAGGACGTTCTGATGCATTGTCCACGCTGTGATTGACGGCCATCGGTGGCAAAATATTTGACATAGTCTTAAGCGAAACCGCGTGAAAAGCAGAGCAAACAAAGGTATGCGCAATCCCATTTGGATAACGCTTCTTTTACCCGGGCTCAAGGCAAAGACCATCATGACAGCAGATGAGAATTGGTTAGCTCTCTGGTTCCGTAACGATTGCAATCCACGTAGCCAAAAGGAGGAGACGATAATGAATTTAATTTTGCAGCAGCAAGAGCCACAAGGTCACGCGACACATTCCCACGATTGCAGAATTTTTGTTGTTGACAGCAGACAGTTGACTCGGTCTTACATGTCTGAGGGTAGCAGTAGCGGTGCAAAAGCGCAATGGCGACAAGGCTAACTACTCGGCTTCGACCTGCAGCATGTTCAATTAGATCTTATCGTTTACGTTCCTTCAGTTCAACAGCACTCCGCCTCGAAGAAAAAATTCCAAAACCACCTCCGCCAATCGAAGACTCGACTTCGGCACTCACCTACAAGTATACTCACTCCCGGCCTGCCCCGCTTCCTGCTACAGATATCCCTCGATTGAGGTCAGCTGAAGAGGCCGTAACGAATATCCTTTACAACACACCTCCTCCGAGCCTGCAACCTTTCAAAAAGTAAGTGACTCGATTCGGAAATATATTGTCTGTTTATTTGACGAGTTTTGCTTCTGCTTCGCAGACACGTACTCAACTGTCTCGTGCAAAATGAACCGGGTGTATTATCGCGCGTATCTGGTATTTTAGCTGCTCGCGGGTTCAATATCGACTCGTTGGTCGTATGTTCGACCGAGATCCGTGATCTCAGTCGGATGTGTATCGTACTGAACGGGCAAGACGGTGTTGTTGAGCAGGCTCGAAGACAGCTCGAAGATCTCGTGAGTAATGTTGTACCGTCCTACTATAATTCTTTTCATGGCTCATATTTGATCCAGGTGCCGGTATGGGCTGTTCTGGATTATACAAACACGCGCTGCATTTCTCGTGAACTTCTGCTTGTAAAAGTATCAATCCTCGGCCCAGATTATCTCGAGGCTCAACTCGTCGGTGGACCCACTCACGACCCGCGTCAAGGTCAAGCATTCGCGCAACCTGCCCCTGATCCGGACGCCGCTCTCGAGGATCGATCTCTGACTTTCGAGCAGGAGGTCGCACTTGCGGAGAACTTTGAGCACAGCACAAGCGCTGGTGCGAGTAGCCCACCTCCGCTGACTGCAGCTGAAGCACTCCGTCTCAAACACCAACACCTTCATTCCATCAATGTCCTCGCGGAGCAATTCAGCGCACGTATCGTTGACGTCAGTGAAAATAGCGTGATTGTTGAAATGAGCGGGAAAACGGCTCGTGTAGAGGCTTTCCTCGCCCTTCTCAAGCCGTTCGGTATTATTGAGTCGGCTCGCACAGGTAATATTTAAAATGGGATTGTATCGTTCGTCGTGAGCTAACGGGTTTTATCAGGTACAATGGTCATGCCTCGGACACCTATCGCATCGCAGGTCAGAGACGAGTCGGATGAAGCTAGTGCGGTCGATGCCAGCTTGTTGCCACCCGGTTAAAGACATTCTTATCTACGTATCATATAACGTTCTCTTTGTCCTTGATTATTTCTGCAGTTATCAGCACTTCCTGCATATGACGGTGTTAATTGGATGGAGGTCCTCGGATTCATTATATATTGGTTGTGATTCCCGTGCAACACACTTGTTACGAGACGCCAAGACACCGAAGACTGTGGACTTATTCAGAATCAGTTGCACAACTAGGAAACATTTTGCCGAGTACTTCAAAGAATACTTTGCACTGACGTTCGCTATACGCTGCTGTCAAGCATCAAGTCATGTTTTTCCTTGTCGTGTTATTGGTTATGGTCTGCCATAATTCCAGGTTGGGTGCCGAGAAAACTCACGGAATGCAGTTGTTCCATCTCAAGTATGCTTGTCCCACTTTGTCAACCTGCATCTAGTCTGTCAGCATGTTACTCTACTCGATTTATGGTTCGTCAAGTTCTGTCCATGATGGACTCAGGCAACATTCTAAAGAACAGTGGGAATCTTCTGATTATTATGACTCATCTTGATTTTTAATGTGTAAAGACAACGCCATCATACAGTTCACGACAGATATCTTTGACAACACCTTGCAAGCACGGGTGGTCTGAAGGAATGCTGTGAATTAGTACTGCTAAACAATCATATTGAACTTGCACTATCTTGTTTGCAGGGGAGTTGAGAATATTGCAGTTCTTTTGAGCCCAAGTCTGCTGGCTTGTCGTGCTGGTTCAAGCCACAATAGCTCTTAGTTCGGCATGCAATTAGCGCCTGCAACGTTAGGATCCTTCTAGCACTCTTTCATAATCACTTGCTCTAACTCAGCTGTCAGTCCACATACGTATGAAGAGACAGTTTCGAGCATAAGGTCCCAGTCAGAAACGTTCACACATAAGAGCTTTAGTACTTGCAAGGTCTTACAATCATTGTTGTGTATGTATCCTGCATTGCTTGTGAATATCAATCGCCCATCCACACACACCTTTGGACTCAACTCACGATAGCCTTCTTAGCTCAGCATGCAATTGGCGCCTACGACGTTAGTTTATCAATGGTTCCTTCTAGCCATCTTTCATAATCGTATACTCAGCTGTCCTTCCACGTACCAACAAGTCGACGATTGCACCCGTGGCTCATTTAACAAGATGGATTCGAGAATTGCAAATGTAAAGAGTAAGGAGCGTTGAAAGACATGAGATAAACAGGATGAGCGGAAGTTATGATGGCTAAGGTGGACGCATCTTGAATTGTTTTTGTATTACACTTACACACCTTACATAATGCAGAATATCTTACAAAGATCGGGTTCCGCTGAGCATAACAAGAAGGTGAGCGAGCCACAACAGGAGAGCATTTTAACTTCAAATCCCGCACCCTTTTTGTCCCTGTCTCCAGTATGCCATGAAATAATTCCCCTGAGGCTATATTCATATCCGTTCCTATCACACTATAAGCTGACGTTTCTTCTCGACGCGACAACGCTGACACACTGATAGCGCGTAGGATGCAAATGGGCTTCCAGTTTTCTATTCGCCGTTTTTAGCTGTGCCTACCATATTGGATCGAGTGGGATGGCAATCGCCGGAAGAGGCACTTATTCAAAGGTCTTCGAACCCTTCCGACAACACATTTGTTTACCACACACAAGTTACATCACTACTGATTATCGATTTACTCATACTTACATCAACCTTTCATGCGTCTGACTCATAAGTAAGTCATGTCGAGGAATATTACTATGTACTTACTCGGATTCGTACCGAAGTTAGAAGCTTACGCCTCTGTGTATGCAACACTGCACCGCCTTCAAAGCCGTGATGCATTGCGGCGCATAGCTGTTTCTTTATCGCTGTGTATGCCTATCAACGGCTGCTCAAGATTGCACAAGTACGACATGCTCTTGAGTGCTCGGCCAGTATCGTTTGGTCCGGTCTACATGAATTCTGCCATCACAAGTCATATTGACCACTTGACAAGATAGCAATTCAATTTACGTACGCTATACACGTATACATGCTACATATTATGCCTTTGTATCTGGACATTTCTGCGAATGGAATGGCTCCTACAATACTATAATGGTTAAAGCGATGAAAAAAGAATACATAATAAGATGTGTTGCGATGAGTAATCCATAACTGGGTCGATGAGTCGATGCAAGCTAAGACGAATAGTGTAAAAACGAAAGCCCCAAGTACGAGTATATGACGATGAACAAAGTCGATACAAATTGTCTGTGCGAGGCAAAAAAAGGGAACTTGTGAATAAATGCAGTATACCGAAAACGAATGGGTGTAAGATATCGGAGAATTGTAAGCGCAGGAGGTTTGTGGTTGCTCAATATTCCGTTAATGTCGTGACGGCTGTCCATTTGGTATGGGCGGGGCGGGTCTTGGTGAATTGACAGGTGAGGAAGCCTGATTAGCACTTTCTGGTTTAATGAACTTGCTAATTTCCTCTATCCACCGTTGAACCACCGGTGACTCCGCGGCATATTGCTGAGGCTTGCCGGTCTGGTAGAAGAACCTTTAGGGAGACTCTAAGGACACATAGTGGTGGAAAACGTACCGTCAAGACGACAAAGGCTCTCTGACCTTTCGCGATAACGCTAGTTATCACAGGTCGGGTGTCCTTCTCTCGCCTTTCTTCCCTGCCTTCTCTCCCGGCTGAAGGGGAACGCAATAATGCCTCGAGTTTCACAGATACCTTACGGCCATGCTTCACCTTGACACATAACAATCGTTGAGTTGTCAGCAAGAGATGCCGCATTTTCGGTCTATTCTGAGTGACGGGGATCGGTAATAGAGTCGCCGTTAGTCTACGTGTTCGGCTCTTTAGTTCAATAGGTCCGTGGAAAACAAGCTTCTCCCCTTCATGGAGAAGAATATCCCAGTGCGCGTCTGGGGTAGTCGTTAGCTGGATTGGTGTAGTTGCACGATCGCGCCCACGGTCTTGCTCGGGAGATAGTGATATCGCGCCCATGGACGCGTTGAGACGTCCAACTGGTGATCCTTCGGATGAGCTCGTCCCAGATCCTGAAGAGACAATTGAACTTCGAGCGACATCACGAGGCGGTATACAAATGGGTTGAGAAACCTGTTGGCTGCCTGGAAGGCCAATTCGACCACGCTGTTCCGCTTGGTCCACGGGAGCAGAATTTTGACCTGGGTTGGTAGGTGGAGGCACTATGTCAAGAGGACCTATCTCGCCGCCGCCACCGGCAAACGGGTAACCATTTACAGTGCCATTCTCAGAAGAAAACTCGCTATCGTCTTCAACCCACGGTAAGTTTGCCTCGTCGACGTCGCCTATATTCCCAACAAGTTGTTCCCATGCAACACCGACGTCATAACTCTGTTCGGAGAGAGGATGCTTTTTCTTCACCAAACCAGCTTCCATAGCTGGTGCAGGACCAGACCAGAGAGTATCCCAATTGACGTCTTTAAAGAAAGGGTGGCGACGTAGTGCATCTATATCATACGGTGTTCCAGGTTCACCAGCTCCAAGACGTTGAGTGGGGTCAATGACCTGACAAGAATATTTGTTAGCATTTTAGAATAAAAACAAGATGCCAACATTCTTCCTCACCAGCAGTTTCTGAACTACATCCTTCGCCACTTCATCGAAGCCATCCGGGAAGGTATAGTCCAAGCTCTTGACTTTTTGCCACATTAAATACTCTGATAAAGCGGAGAACGGGAATCTGCCTGCGATCATTTGGAAGATAATGCATCCAACAGCCCAGATGTCGGAACTGCAAGAAAGACAACAATGAGCAAACAGTTCGTGCTTCGCGCGGTGGGGTCCCGCTCCACTGCGACAAATAAAATTCACTCACGCTTTCGAAGTATTATTAGTTGTTAATAATTCTGGAGAGACATATTGAGCTGTTCCGACGAACGTGCCCGCACGTTCTGACCCATCGTCAAGTAGTTTGCCAGTCCCGAAATCTGTTATTTTCAACCGCATATGGTCGTCCAGCAACAAGTTTTCCGGCTTCAGATCACTGATAAGGGAGTAAGAAGGTAAGTTTAACGAAAAGAGACTAAGTATCATACCGGTGTATAACGCCCTTAGAGTGCATATATGCTACTGCATCAACGAGCTGAGCAGCATAATAGCGGGCGCAAGGAAGCGACAAAGAACCGAGCCTTGATATTCGGCTCTGTAGCTCGCCATTCTTGGCAAGGTCAAGGACGAAATCTGCGGGGAACCGCCAGGTTAAGATCCGAGCCGTGCGCAAGACGCATCAAACACGTACATAAGCTCCACTCATCATGGAAAGCCCAATGCAACCTCACGATGCCAGGGTGGCCAGAACCTAAGCGAACCAGCGTGTTCTTCTCCGCGATAGCAGTCTGCGTCTTGTTGACTCGCTTTAGATGACCTTTGTCGAGTATTTTAATAGCATATTCCTGCTCTGTTGGAGAATAGATTGCATGGACAACCTGCGACTAAGTGTGAGAAAAAAAATTAACTGCGCAGGAGTGTTCTAATGCGTACGGTGGAGTAAGATCCTTCGCCCAAAATTTCGCCAAATTCGAAGTCATTCACGTCTAGCTTGAAGCCAGCAGAGCTATTTCGAGACTTTGTACGGGCCCTGGACTTGGATCGAGACTGAGCACGCTTCTTCAAATCAGCATAACTATCATTGTCGTCAATGAGTCCCAGTTCCTTCGCAAGATAGGCAGGCGGTCGTGTGGAGCGCGGCGTCGGTGGCGCGTCGCGGCTGAGCGACCTAGGCGAAGAAAAAGTGCGAACTGGTCGAGGACGAGGAGTGTTGAGAACCAAGGAGCTTGTCGAACTGGAGCTGGAAGATGAGGAAATGACAGATGCGTTCCTACTGAGGTCGGACAGCGTCGGTGCCGGGGGAGGCTCTGGGGAGGGATCAGTGACCTCGATGTGCAGCATACCGACGACCGATGCTGCGTGATGGCGGAGACGGAGGAGGACGTGCTTGTGGGGAAACGGGTGTGGTAGTGTATGAGCCAAAGCCAACTCACAAGAGTCTAAGAGTCTAGACAACCACGTGGATCCAGCTCCGACGCGCGTCCGCCTCAGCTTGACGCTTGGCCTCAACCATCTCTTTCAGTTTCACTGCCTCCTTCTCTTTGTTTGAGGGCCCAACGCACACCCACAGTTGATCGCCTTCACGTCATCGCTTCTGCAGTGTCTCTAGAGCCAGCTAAGGGTCGCAAAAATGCTCTCTATTAATGCAATTGTCCGTCTACTTCGCGAAGATCCGCGAGCAGTCGTCACTATGATGTCGTTTACCTCCGTTCGCAGACTTTTAATTCTTAATCTATACCCGCAATTACCCTTCTTTGCACTGCGGGCTCTCGGCGAATCTGCCAGACAGGCCGGGTTCAGGAGGCTGTTCCTCAATTTAACGATCTGCTTCCTCTGGTTTCATATGGTCCGGTGACCGTACTCGGCGCTCGCCTTCACACACATATCTACATGTCTACATTTCTGGTACTACTTTCTTTAGCCTGAAATTATCATATTTCCAAGGCAGGATACTCTTCCGCATTGACCGCACCACTATTCGAGCGTCTGGGTATCTGAGTTCCAAAGAGATTGGATCATCACTGGCATCAGCATTATGCAGTTTAACATCTGTACAGCCTTCACTTGTCATAAATATCTATCTGCGAGGGCCGGAAATACTGATGGTAGAGCAACCGGAACCGTTCGAGACGCCCGTGGCTGATGGTACAGACTGGATTACGAGAGCCAGCGGTTTCTGGGTCTGGGATTCCCCTGTGCGCACCAAAGGCTTTCTGATATCTTGGCTGTCGTCCGGTGCCTGAGAAATTTCATTTCCGTCGAGACATGGAGGCGACGATTTCTTTCTCAAGTCTAACAGCCCGTTCCAGAGTGGAATGATTCCCCAGACTGTAAGTAAATCCTGTGCTCTGGTTCAGCTAGGTGCATACATCGCCTCGTTAACTGAACTTACCTTCTGTGTTCCGAAAATCAGAAATGCTGCAAATGGTACTGCGTAAACATCTCTTATGAGCGCTCTCAATTGAGATGTCCTGGTAGTACGACTTACGAGATGCTTGGATAATGTGAGCATACATGAAGTCAGATCTCGGTTCAAACCAAAACTGAGCTGCAGCGCTGTCACAATGGCAGTCAGCGCTGTCTTAAAATACGAGTAGCGATGGATCCTAAACGTACAGCAGTGATAAGCCAGCACAGACTGTAAATACGCTAGTACGGATGAAGAGCCGAATGAATTTATCAGTTCCTAGCTTGTCTTTCGAAACTTTGAATTTCCTCCGGAGTTTGACCAGTCTTACGATTATCAAGACTATCCCGAACATGAGTCGGTGAAGGTGTCATTTGTGCATAATAGTACACTCACTTTCGAAGATAACACATGCAAGTATAATCACTGTTGATATGTATGGAACTCCGTGTCTAAGGGATAAGCCAGTAAACTTCCCGGTTTAAAGAGTGAAGTAATGCATACTCGTTTTTGACACTGCAGTACAGAGCATCCTGCGATCTGTCTATGGACAACTGACCTTGGCTTGCTTTCTTGAATATCCAAATTATCGTAAGAATGAACTGTATGCATGCACGGAAATGCACACCCACAATCGCGAAGAATAATGCAGCCAGCACGAATGCCACATACGGAAGAACCAGTAACTGCAAGCTTGAATTTAAACAAAATCCACAGTTGAAAAGCGAAGAATCTTCACCATCTTTGTTATCCCCATACTTTGCCCAAGTCCTGGCCTGTCAACCAATTCTTCTCTGGGATCATCCAATGGGATACTATTACTTCTCCGGAGTTGACTAGTCCCAAGCCAAATCTACCTTCAGTGTAAGCAACAACACTCTTAAAGACTCGTAATGATCATGCACACAAGTACATTGAAGACGAGTGCAAGCCCGGAAAGCGGAGTTCTGCATGACCAGTGAGTTGAATCCTGAGTCTCTTTCGATCATTATTATGTTATGAATATGGGGAACGTACGATATTGCCGATCCATACACCATCGATAATTGTGTAATGCACAATGCTAAAGGCTTTTCTTGATCATATTGATGCCCAGTATACAACCTTCATCACAGATTTGATTTTCGTCGTATAAAATCAAAGCATCAAAAACCCGTGAATGCCAAAGAAATACAAAAAATGACGTACAAGAGACAAAATGATGTTGTGTATAATATTCAGCTGGTAAGAAATCCGAGGAGTAAAGGATGCCTTTGTACTCTCTTGCACAGGGCAACGGTAATAAGAATGATGGGCATTCCGATATGGCCGCCAGTAATCAGAATAGCGAAGAACAGTCCAACGAACGTGGAATCAGCCATTACGATAAAATTACCTGCACTAGGCCAAGATTGTCGTGTGTAGAAGAACGAAGTAGAATCGAACAACTTGCAACGAGCGACTAGAACGGACAGCGAGTACAACCAGGTGAGTAAGAACCGAGAAACAAAGCAAGCGGATCGCTCTTTAGCTCGTAGAGAACCCGACCTCAATGTATTTGAACAATAAGGCACTTCGAATGCATACAAGGTCGTGAACCCAGACGACGAGGGTTGAGGGGTCAATAGCTGGAAAGCGCGGCACACGACTGAGCAAAACCACTTCATCAGGACCTTGATTATCATCCGGCTTTGGTCAACAAAAGATTCATCTTGGCCTCCCGACGATCATTTTCCGAGATGCGCCGCACACACACGTTGGTACCAGCATTGAGCCTAGCATGCGGACTGTAAAATGATGTCCTGTGAGACCTGTGTGGGCCCTGGATTGATGAGCAGTTGTAGCGGCGATCACTCACTGACATAGTTATTTATATTTCTAGTGCGTAAAGAATGGCGCACAACAAGGTTCCAGTTCCAGTCTCAATCACTAAGCAAAAGGCAAACTTCTCTTCGCTGCGAGTCGCCACTTGCGGGTATACTTCACAAAGTCCTCCAAACCTTACGCGTCTTCCTGCTGCCTGACCTTCTAAAACGAAGCTTACCTAGAACAACGGGGTCATCTCGGTTCTCATATTAGCATTAATACAGCCTTCAATCGTCATTGTCATAAGTAGCTATTGCCGAGCACTGGAGATACTGATGGCAGAGTAACTAGAATCGCTCGAGACGCTCGTGGCTGACGACACAGACAGGCTTACTAGGACGAGCGGTTTCTGGGATTCCTTCATTACGACTGGCGAAGGCTTCCTGATGTCTTGGCTGTTGCGGGGTGCCTGAGGAAATTCATCTTCGTCCAGACGTGGAGGCGGCGATTTCTTGCCCAAACCTAGCAACCTGTTGCAAAGCGCCAGTGGAAGGATTCCCCAGGCTGTAAGTAAATCCTAGTGCTCTAGCTCAGCTAGGTGCATACATCGACCCATTAACTGAACGCACCTTCTGTGTTCCGAAAATCAGAAATGCTGCAAACGGCACTGTATGTCCTGCATGAGTACTGTTACATAGGATGTCCTGGTATCACGACTCACTTGACGCCTGGATAATGTGAGCGAACATGAAATTGGATCTCGATTCAAACCAAAATTGGACTGCAGCCCTGTCACAACGACTGTCAACGCCGTTTCTAAGATGTATAATCCGATAGATTTATACGCACAACAATGATAGACCACCATAAATCGTGAAAATACCGGTACGGATGAAGAGCCGAACAGACATATCGGCTTTGAGCTTGTCTTTCGACACTTCGAATTTCCTCCTGAGTTTGACCAGTTTCCAGATTATCAGGACTACCCGAGAAGCATTCAGTGGGATGTCTCATATGCGTAATGGTTCACCCACTTTCGAAAACGACACAAGCAAGTATAATTATCGTTGAAATGTATGGAACCCCTTGTCTACAAGGTGAGAATAGCTGGTGAACTTCCTAGATTTTATCAGAAAAGGGGGCGAAATAGCACATACTCATTGGATCTGGCGCAGTACAGGGAATTCTGCGACCTATCGATGGAAGACTGCTCTTGGCTTACCTCCTAGCTCGTAAAAATTATCATTAGGGTGGAGAATATATGTACCAGAGGCTGTACACTCACAATCGCAAAGAACACTGCGACGAGCACGAATGCCGCATACGGAATAATAAGCAACTGAAAGCTCTAATTACGACAAAATTCACAGATGAAAAAGCCAGGAATCTTCACCGTCTTTGTTATCCACATACTTTGGCCAAGTTCATGCCTTTCATCCAACTCTTCCTTAGGATCGTCTGTTGGGATACTATTACTTCTCCCGATTTGACTAGTCCCAAGCCAAATCTAACTTCAGTGTAAGTCCCACCCTCAAAGTCTCGTAATGACGTAATCGTACATACATTGGAGATAAGCGCAAGCCCGGAAAGTGGAGTCCTGCGCGATCAGGTATTGAATATTGAATTTCTTTCGACCATTATTATGAGTACGGAGAACGTACGATATCGCTGAACCATACACCATCGACAATTGTGTGATGCACAATGCCAAAGGCTTTTCGTCATCATATTGATGTCCGGTATACAGCCTTCATCACGAAGTTAATTTTTTCGCCGGATAGCATCAATGCATCAAAATGAAAATGAAAATCTCGTGAGATAGAGGGAAAAAATGGACGAGGCAAAAGACGTACAAGAGACAGAACGATGTCGTATATAATACCCAGCTGGTAAGAAACCCGAGGAGCAAGGGATGCCTTTGTAGTTTCTTGCACAGGGAGATGGTGAGAAGAATAAGCGGTATCCCGATGTGACCGCCGATAATTAGAATAGCGAAGAAAAGTCCAACGAGCGTGGAACCAGCCATTGTGGTAAAAATGCTGGCACTAGGCCAAGATTATTGTAAGTAGAAGAACGAAACAGAACAGAATAAGAAGCAGCGAGCGACAAGAAGGGAAAGCGATGGGCAAGTACCAAGAAACAAAGCAAATGGATGGCTCTTTAGCTTATAGAGAGCCCGATTTCGATTTCTTTCAAACAAGAAGGCACTTCAAGTGCATACAAGGTCGTAAAGCCAGACGACGAGGGTTGAGAAGGCGATAGCTGGACGGTGTAACTACAATCACTTGGCCTTATCACACGCGCCCGAGCAAAGCCACATCATCAGGATCTTGGATCCCGATGATGGTATAACGATGGGTAATAAAAGGCTCGTCTTAGCCTGCCGATGATCAGTTTCTGAAACGCACGTTGGAACCAGCATTGAGCATAGCGTGCAGGCGGCTGAAGTGATGCTCGGTATCACCTAGCCACCGGGATCGATGAGCAGTCTTGTAGCGTCGAACGTTCACGTGTATAGTTTTTTATATTTCTAGAACAAAGACTTGAAAGAGAATCAGACGTACATCAAAGGCGGTATTGAATATCAAGTCATAGATCTAACTTCGATCACCAGGGAAAGGCGAACTACTCTTCATGGGAATCGTTGCTTCCGGGTATATCTTACATCGCTCAAACCTTATGCGTCACTCTCTAATGTGCCTATCCTCACTTCTTGACCTTCCAAAATGAAGCATACCTAGAACAACGGGTCATCTCAGGTCATTCACAGCGGTAGGAACGAAAAACCTACATATTGACCCGATCAAGCGCTACTTTACTACCGGGCCGACGGACGTTCAAACATCTTGTCTCAAAACCAACCGAGGAGAACCTGCAGAAAGTCAAGTAAAATCGCATTCTGGAAGAGGGGTCACCTACCTCTTAATATACCACGGGACTCTGGCAGCTGAACGCAGGAGAATGAATCCTCCGGGCTTAAGGACTTTATATAAAAGGTCGATTTCCTCAGTAACTTCTTTACTCTCTTCAGCAAACCAGTCCAGGTGGTCCATCAGAATCGCTCTGGTAAGTGATGATGGTGTCATGCTCTCCAAACACCTGAAACGAAACGGCATTCAGTCATCGCGCGCAATCAAAGTATACACAACGAACCCCGAGATTGTCTCTGTGTGGATTTTGATCGGATGCACGGTCTCGCAGTCGTTAGCTTTCAGGGTGTCGAAACCTTCTCGTGTGAGGTACGAAGGACACGAAGTCGGGGTATAACTTCCCAGCAGTGTCTGCATCACGATTCTTGATCAATATATCTTGACACCTTGATGAAGAAGACGTACTAGTAGATAATGATAGGCCCCGTCACTGAAAAGCTCCGACGTTGCTACCGGATCTAGAGTATCTCTGATATATTCAAACGCTGTTCCCTCGGTCAACAACATGTTTCGCTGGTTTCGTGGGACACCGAGTGCACGCCAACAGAACACCGGATTGTTTAAGAGACGCAAGGTCAGTGAGTTTAGTATGACAGGTCGGACACGCTCATGCCAGATCTTGTTCTGCTCCTCAATCGAGGTTGTGCTGCACATGCGCAACACATCCTTGCGGCGTCCAGCAAGCCTAAAAAGTGCTCTAACCAAGCGTAGAGCAAATCCCGAATACCCGTACATGTAAAGTGATGAAGACGGCGCGAACATTCGCGAGTTTGCCTTCCAGAACTGGTAGCACGGGGCGGAGAGTAAGGGAGACAACTGCAAATCAAGGATCTGATCGAACGATTCAATGTACCCTAACCCAAACATCTTGTAGAAAGACTCAAACGGAAGTGCCTTAAGCGCGGCAATCTTCAACTCGAGAAGGTGACCTTGGCTGAATGCGAACGTTAATATGATGCAGTCATTCAGTGATTGCCCGGTGCTCACCAAGGATTCATGTCGACGCAATGTATCTATAAAACGAATTAGACGAGATACGTCGATAGCATCACAGATACCAACAGTCTGTAAGTTAGCCTTAAGCGCATAATGGAGTGCGTTGTCGCCTGCGGACGTGATGACAAGAAGTGAATCACTCGCGCTCGCCTCCAGATATTGCATATCTTTGAATGGATCCTCCTAACGCAGCACATTAGTTCGTAAGACAGGACTAGACAAAATCGAAGTTATTCTTACCCAAGTAAATGAATACAAGAACGTGTTGATTTCTTCATGGATAGGTGAAGGCTTATACGGAACTCGACACGGCTATGAGACATGTAAATATTATTGAATAAAGAAAGAACGATATTCCATACTGCATTGCAGAATAGTGACTCAGATGGGCCTCGCTGCTTGATATCTAGTGGGACAACATGTCTTGAACAACCAAGCCAGATGTAATACGGGCTGATAATCTTGCTAAACAAAGCGCTCTTACGGAGAGCAATGCAAACTCACATGTGGATAGGCAGAGGTCGCAGAACCTCATTTCGGCCGTTATAGACTTTGAACTGGTTAAACTTCTGATCAGCTTCTAGCTACACGCAGAACACGGGAAAACCTTACAGTCTCGAACTTATGTTCCAAGTATTCTCTACGTTGAGGACCCAGTATGACATCATCGAAATCAAACCAAATTTGCCAGAACCATCGTGATAGCCAGTTACATGCTCTGTCAACATCCGTGGGGGAAGGCTGATGGGAGCTTCCCGAAGTATAGAAGTCGACTACCGAAAGTAGTCCATTCTCAGGCGAAAGGAGGCAGGCAACTCTGTCCAAAACGGTATAGAAGATTGGAATCTTTGATGGCGTAATCAGAATTTGCGTGACATTTAACAGGATCGCAAACACTTACCATAGACAAAGAATAGCTAAATGTAATAAGACTAGCTGATGCTTCCTCCTCTGGCACAACGAAAGAAGCCGCATCCTGGTGGAGGACATGGACATTTTTCCAGCCGTGCGCTGCGATCCGCTTCCTAGCAATCTCAAGCAGAGGCTCGCATATATCGACGAGATACACGGCATCGAAGGAATCAATGCTTATGAATTCGTTCATTACCTCGATATTGAATCCTAATATTTTGTATTTAGTCTAGGTATTGGCATTGGATAATGTTGTTTACCCGTGCCACCGCCGATGTCAATCCAGATGAACGGCCTTTTAGCGGAGGATTTACGGCTGTCCAGAAGATGGGCCGCAGAAAGGCGGAGCATGGTTCTCCTTCCCCTCAAGAGATTCTTCCTTGTGTCATCGTATATGTCCGCCTGGCCCTTGTAGAACTATGCCACAGCCCCGTTTCAGAGACATATAACTCACAGCAGTTAAAACTTACTTTGTCGATTCGTTCATGATGTTCTCGGCCGCCATTCAATGCGATGCAAGCATGCCATACGAAACGAAGTCTCTTTTGGAGATTAAATGACGACCGTCTCAGAGGACTGCAAAATACGATAGTTAATGCGTGATAGGTTTTTGAAAGTAAACCGGACACACTATAAAATGCATATAACGACCAGCAAGAGTAATGCACGAAACAGCGATAAATCAATTGTAACATGCTCCGGAGTGTCAGAGTTTACGGCTGTCGGCTGTGAAAACACCTCGGATTTGTTCAAAGCTGACTGCATACCGAACCTGTGCAAATTGAATAAGCGTCGCAATATCCAGATCTTGTTACGCAGACCAACCAGAGCTAAAACACCTAAGTATCAGGCGCACCTGGGGAGCGGGCGATGGGTCAACAAACGACAATTTTCTTGAGAAAGAAATATACACACTCTTTGAAGCATCTCGAGATCGCACTTTACCCAAAGGGCATGAGCCATCCGCGGAATGTGGAGAAAATTGCCCAGAACTTGACGGTGTTAATGCATTCATAATGCCATCTTACAAACGTGCGCCAAAAATGCAGGTGTAGGAATGGATGAACCCGCCAGACCCAGCTATTTGCGGGGATCCTAAAGTTTTCCATGTTCTTGTGCAACCTAAGATGCACAACTTTCTATGTTTCGGCTGAATCGGAACGGTTCTTGACACATTTTTCTACGTGGTGATCATCACCAACTATTCAGGTCTAAGTGCTATCATAGAAACGTGACTATAATACACAGGTAAGTAAGGTTGCGCAAAAATAGAGAGAAACTCACCGTGTGAAGAAGACAACCTTGAGATTCTCAATGCAGCTTTCAAGTTTCAATGCTGCATAATATCGTCGGTATTTTGTATGCTCGTCCCATGAACGTACTTCGACATACTTCATGGGTAGTAGATTGCTCTGTCTAGATGATGGTGGTGTCCACACGTGTGTGGGTGTTTATCCAGAGAAGTGTAGGTGCGGTAACGTGGTCGGAGCCAACAACACAGACCAGCGCACGTGCGCGTGATCCGTCTGTCCTTATTGGGGGCAAAGGTAGTCGCGTCAAACTTTCTACGGAACACAACATAACTTCCGTGATAAACATTCAAGTGAACTTCCCGTAAGGACTTATTGAAGTCAAATAAATAATATGCACTGATCATGGTTACCTGCCGTCGGGCTACTCAGAAAAATGGCAGAATCATCCCGCACGATCCTCGGGCTGGTATCTACCATCCATTGCGTACTGTGCCTTTAGACCCGCCGATTCGCTCGCTTAACCTCGAGAATTTCAAGGCGGGAATTTGGCTCCCTCTAGTAAACGTTCATAAAGTAGCGCACTCTGGGAAAGCCGAAGTCACATAAGCGCACGTTTCTTGTACCGGCTCCACCGGCTCGTGCTTCGCTAGCAATGCATTGACCTGCGATAACGTGCCTCAACCTCCCCCTTGTAGGTTTGACTCACGGCCCAGTCGGAATGTGGCAGACAGAAGCCCCTCCATCGAGATAGTGTCCTCGTTCAAAAGCACCTTTATCTGAAAATGGATATCTCGGTGCGACCCACTCAAGGTGCTATCTGTTCGACATTCTACCTCGACTTGTATGTCGCCTGTCCTCGTTAGATATCTTTCCGCCATGTTTTTTGCTTCATCGTTGTGCACAGTACTTATATCTTGCGCGTGGTATTCGTACATGACGCCTCGATTTGCAGAAGAGAAACGGAAATCGTGGATTGTAACGTTCTTGTCCAGCGCGGTGATGTCCTTAGGAAGTCTACCGTTCTTGTGGGACTTTGTCGTATCAGGAGGGGAGACTGCTGCCGTTCATCATAGACCATGGATCTCCCAGGCTATGTGCGGTTCATTCCAAGGATTTCTATTCTCTGACCTCATAATGGGTTCTATCGACTATCCTCGACAACTTTCTCCTGTAATCGGATGGGGTCACCACATCATATACGCAATCCTCATGCCATACATAACCTTCCGCGGCTGGGCACATGTCTTCTGTCTCTGCCTAGCCATGGAGATACCCACATGTTTTTTGGCATCTTCTTTTCTCTGGCCCAGATTACGAAACGACATTGTCTACGCCTTCATATTCTTTACAACCCGAATCGCATTACACGCATCGCTCTTGATCGAGACACTTCTTCCACGAGGAAGGAACGAGACGGTTGGGGGAAGCTTCGCCCCCGCGTGTCTCTTGGCGTGTGCATTTGTCATGCATACATCATGGTTCGTATCCTCTGTGAAAGGTATCATTCGAAGATCCCGAATCAGGGGTGTCTCCAATACCATTTTATTGAAAGTACAGGTGCGATTAGCCATGATATCAGTGTGAAATTTTTATCAGGTTCGCTAATGCCAGTGCTCTTGGATTAATAGGGCCCGCAGCGACTGGCTCAACGTCTTCGCAACGCTAGAAGAACGCAGCGCATCTCCATCCACGTTGCTAGAGTAAGATTCTCGTAATATGATTGATGCATCTAGTCATGGCATTGAACATATCTCAGCTTATGAATTCCTTCTGAATAATAGTGGTGTCTTGACCGATATTCATCCTCACGACCTTACGTTTTGTTACGGTATGCTATGCATTTAAAACCCGTAACTACCCGTCTTTCTAATCCTCACATTCTGTTGTGACTATCAGAATTCCAGGTCTCTCTACACCATTGTCATTGTCTTGAAGCGACTCCAGTCTTTCAATCTTGTTTACTACACCCCCCATTGTTGACCTTTAATTCTGGACCTGTATCCGTTTCCTGCAGATTTCTAGTGTTCCGATCTAGAAACACCTTTAGAGCACATAAATTCGAGCCTCAACAGCTTTCGTGATGCTCTCTGGCCAGCTGTAGCTTGTAGACTTGCTGACTCCTCTATTTACATTCTTTCATGGTTGTCTTGGTTGAAGAATTCGTAATTGTGTGCATACCATATTTGCCACGTTTGCATCTTTTTTTTTTTGAATATCTTTTCAATTTGGTTTCACAGAGTGTTTCTCTTGGTTCCTGTAGTTGTATGTTATACAGTATGTCTAGAAACAGAAGCATATACATAGCTACCAGGCATAGTGTGTTTCTGTCCCTTGTATTTCTATCATTAAGTTATATGTGTAGTTAATTATGTGTGTGTTAAGTAATTGATATTACATCCTTGTATAGTGTTACAGTTCTCTGCCCTTGTACCTTCAGTTCTAAGGGTTCTGCACCCTTCTGTACTGGAACTTGAGACTTCTGTCCCTTGGGAGTACTGTCTATAGACTATATACAGGCTGACTCTCACTATTACCCTTCCTTACTTTATCATTCTGTTCCTTTGACCACCCTTTCATTCTTTGTTCATTCTATAGTCTCTTACCCTTTGTCCATCCCTTCATTCTTTGTACCTTTATCTTTGACCTTCCTTTCTTTCATTCTTTATGGCTCATCATTCTTAGTAACTTGTATTCCCTGAGTACTCTTGTATAGTTTAGTATATATAGGTATACAAGATCAGACTAGTCCTGTAGTCTTGATCTTGTCTACTTTAGATAGTCCTGTACTCTTAGGCTCACTCTATATACTCTACTCTTGTCTCACACACTCTCTCTGTCTGTTCTACAAGTTCTGACTATGTTCTAGTACTTGTGTTCTGTATTTCTGTTGTGTAAGATAGTTGTAGCCTGAGTCCCCTTACTGAGCCTTCAGGTCCCCTCTACACTGTTACTAACATCAGATTAAGACTACTCATTACTATCCTACAACTCTCTTATGTTTTGAGCATTAGTACTTACTGTTGTGTTAATCTCTTTTCTTTGTCCTAACCCTTTTACATTTTTAAATTTTAAACTTTCTAAACCCTTTTAAACTTTTACTACCCTTCTTCTATTCATTACCCCTTTTAGTTTAGTGTTGATTCCTTTATAGTGTAAACATAGACTCTCTCATACTAACTGTCACCCCTACTGTCCTACCAGATTAGTAGTTACAAGTAGACCTAGCTTAATATGTGTAGACCTTTATTTAAGAGGCCTTTACTAACTATATACCTCTAGCCCTCTTAAAACCTATTCTAATTGTTCTAGAAGTTACAACCTGTTCTAGAAAGAAAGTGTATGTAGCCTACCCTTCAGACTTTAATAAATAACACTTTAAGGACTTTTAGTACTAAGTTAAACTATATATAGTTACTACTTTAACTAATCTATCCTCAGATCTTAATTACATCCTATTTGTCCTCTCCTTCATGAAGGAAGGCAATACAGCCACCTGAGCCTAGAACTGGATTGAAGGCTATCAGATTAGAAGTCTAATCTGACTTCAGAATAATAAGTTGTATTCAGAATTCATAGGGCAGCTCTATACTTTCTTTATTAATCTGAATAAGAAGTGTAATACACAGAACAAGCTTACATCTCTATAACAGGGCAAACATTCTACTAATACCTTTTTTTAGGAGTTCAATATCCTAGCCTAAAAGGTAGGATTTGTACTCAGGTTTGATAATGTTCTTATTAGAATACTTGAGAAAGCTCTTTACCCAGAACTGGTTGATAAGATTCTTAGAATAATGTTGGAACTAATTACTTACACTGATTAGAAGATACATACTATTTCCTTCAACCAAGCTACAGCTTAGATACATTAAGTCTGTATAGAATGCTTGTACATACATTTAACTCTGACAGTTTCAAGCTCTCAGATTAATCTGCCTGTAATTTGTAATTAATCTGTTCTAATAGACATTAGAGAAGCTTGAAAGTAAGGAGTATACTTTACTTACAGAAAGTCAGGACACTAGATTAAGGACTACTTACAGAAGTAATAGTATATCTGTTAGGTTATTAGAGTAATAATGAGTAACAAGTAGGATTTGTAGTAAGAAGCCTTTTCTACAAATCTAGAAGTCACCTTAGAACTCTTAGACTCTGACTATGTACTCTAGAATTTTATAGAGGCTTAACAGTAAATGTAGTACTAAAGGGCTATGACTCAGATTTTTTAACAGCCACTTTTGATTTAATAGACAATCGAAAATGTATTGCTTCAATATAACTTGCAAAACAATAGGAATTTACAAACGCCTATGCAACTAAATACTCAATTAGTTACAGACAATAATCTACTAGAGGATGAATGCACATTTATGTCCAAGATACTGTATATGAATATGGTTGGATCCTTGTAATATATTGCAGATTGTACACAACCAGACATAGTGTTTATAACATCCCAACTTGCAAAACACTTAAAACACTCAAGCATGTTACATTACAATGCTGTAGTGTATTACATACAATACTTGAAGGGGACCAAAGACAAATGGTTAATCTTTAGACAAGGAAATCATAATAATATTACTGGTTATATGGATGCAGACAGAATGATGCAAGAAAATAATAAAGCAATATTCAGATACACATTCTTCTTAGGAGAATTGCTCATATCTTGGTCAAGTAAAGGACAGAAACTAGTATCCTTATTTATGTACAAAGTGAAAATAATAGCACTATCAAATGGAATACAAGAAGCTATAGCATTACAATACCTAGCAGATGAGATACTGTAGATCTCTGATGCACCTACAAATATTTATTACAATAACCAAGCAGTAATTAAATCTATAGAAGCAGACAAAACAAAATACTCAACAAGAACTAAGCATATTGGCTTACAACACAATTTTATTAAGTGTTATGTTGAGGAACAACTTATTAATATTAAGTATGTTCAAACAGACAATCAAAGGGCAGATATCCTAACTAAATCATTACATGTTCCAAAGATCAAACACCTTACAGACTTAATAGGTCTTGTAAATGTTTGAAGGGGACTGTTAACATGTATTACAATCAATGATACAATTACAGACACTACAGTAATGATAAGATGATTAATACACATATAAACAGAACAGACACAGAACAAAGAGACATGTATCAGATACACAATACAAGACATGTATTGGATACACAATACAAGACATGTATTGGATACACAATAAGTATCAGATACAAGATAATGATACATTGGATGTCTAAGACATACAGACGAATGAATAACATAAAAGCAAGCAACTTAGTAACTAAATATATATCATTATCAGGGTCTACACCCTCATTACTTGTGTGATAACCTAAGAATACGCATTCTAACAGTTTTTAACTTTTTTCTTTTTAATAAATAATTTTGTTGATTTACTTTTTCTACTTTTTCTACTTTTTCTACTTTTTCTACTTTATTTACTTTTAATCCTACAGATAATGTCTTTGTCTCATTATTATTGTTCGTTCGTTTCTATTGTGTTTGATTTCTATACCTAGTAACCAATGTAATTTGCCTCTGTCCATAATTTCTATATGTGATTGTAGAGAGTTTTTAATCATATCAATAATATTATTACTCTGTGCAACAATAGTTATATCATTAATGTGAACTAATAGTATTGCAACTGTACATTTGTTCTTCTTTACATAGAATACTGTAAAGTTGTATTCTGATTGTGTAAAACCAATTGTATTAAGTATTCAGCATAGAGTTTTATACCATCATTGTCCAGCTTGTTTTAAACTGTATAATACTTTACACAATCATAATACTTGTCCAGGTTTTAACTTTATTAAATCACTCAGTGGAGGTTTAATAAATATTATTTTGTCATTATCTAGTTCTCCATTTAAGTATGCAGATTTAACATCTATTTGATGTATCTTGTAGTTCTTTGAACATCCCCATACAATAGCAAGTCTTATTAAAGATATGTGTGCAGTAGGTGCAAATAGATCATTATTATAATAATCTTCACTGTCTTGTTGAAATATTCCTTGTACAACTAATCTAGCTTTTTGTTTTTCGATAGAATTATCTGTTAGACGTTTTGTTTTATATACAAATTGTGTTCCAATAACATTTGCATTATTAGGAGGATATACTGTCTCCCAAGTATTGGATTGTATTAATTGTTGTACTTTGTCATCCATAGCTTTATTCTAAAGCTCACAATCACTTCTATTGATTGCTTCTTTATATGATAATGGATCTGTCATTATTTCTGTATGTAGTTTGTTAAATTTGTTAAGATAAATCATAATATTCGTTTTGTCAACATATGATAGACCTTTTGAGTGTTTACTAGGTAAATTCGTTTCACCCAAACGTTCTGTAATTTTGCACTTTTGAGTAGAGTGTCTTAGTTACATAGTTTTGTCTGATTCTTGATTGGATTCATTGTATTGTGTGTTTTCTACTAACTTCTACATATTTTGTATTTTCTGTTAGTGATTCACTT